AAAATAAAAATCTCTATACAAAGAACGCGCCTCTTTCTAATAATATTATATTTAATATAAAAATCATAATATAAATATATATATATATTTTTTTTTTTGGAGTTATAAATGAAAAAATTGTACAAACAACCCACGGTGGTTTATTCTATTCTTTGCCATTTTCTGCCTGGTTGGCAAGCGAGACGAGAGGCAATCCGTAAATCGAAACGATTCTTGTATCAGAAAAACGAAGAAACTATTTTCTTTGTTCGCTTAATGCTTGATGTTGAAGTACAAAAAAAAGGGGGAAAAAAAAGAAGAAGAAAAAAAAAAAAAAAAAAAAAAAACTTAAAACGCATTGCTTTCTGCAAATTGAATTAAAGACGTTGGAAATGGAACTCTATATAGAACTTTCTAACTATACCTTACATCTTACAAATCAAATTAGAAACCCCCTTTTTTACAAGGTACAAGTAGCATTCTGTCGCTGTGAAGTGATTCAAGTTATATTGCATCTTAAACATTAGTTCAAAAATTAATAGCCGATCGGCAAAAAAATATGCGGAGTGATTTTTATGTTCTGGAACCACTAAATTTTTTTTATTTTTTAATTCCACTTTTTTTTTTGTTTAAAAAAAAGAGATTAAAAAAATTTTTTTTTTTGGTCCAGAACATAAAAATCAATATATATTTATATAGTAGAGAAAAAAAACAGGAAGGACAAAAAAGGTCAAAAGAAAGTATAGGGGAAAAAATTTTTTTTTCCATTGTTCAAAAGTATCTCGTATTAATTTTTCACTTTTGAACTAACACCCATTTTTGTATATGTATTTATTTCAAGGGTGCATTCTCAATGTTCATCAACAATTTCAATATTTATTATCTGATCAATTCGTATAAATACCTATATACATTCGATAATGTTGAATATCGGCTTACTAATCAATTATTACACAGAAATTTATTTGTGCAAAATTGTCGGAATTATTGTCGAAAATTATTAAATTTTTATATATTTAATAAATAATTGTCATTTAGAGTCAAATCACTCGTTTTTTTTAATTCATTACAATATTTAAAAGAAATTTTCAATCAAAAGGAATATTTAAAAATTTTGTATAATTTTTAGTTTGATAAATAAATAAATATTTACTTGAAGGAAATAATTTTTATTTGAATTAAATAGATCAATATAGATATTTAGACCAATAATTTCTTCATTTAGAACAAATATATACTTTATTTAATTAAAATAAAAATTATTTGATTCAAATAAATTATTCATTAAAATAAAAATTATTTGATTCAAATAAATTATTCATTATAATAAAAATTTATTTGATAGTAGTCAAGTAACCGATTAGTTAAATAAAATAATTTTTTTTTAAAGTAGTAAAAGTAGTTTTTAGTCAGACTATATTCTAATTAAGTTTATTATCAGTAGTAAAAGTTGTTTTCTATTATACAACGTGTAAAGTTTTTTGAAATTTTTTTCACCAGTAGTTTAAGACCGTTACAGTTGGACTTTACAAATTCTGTTATGTTTGTTATCAGTAGCATTAAAAGTTAGTTCCAGTCAGACAATAAGTTTTACATTATTGTAACTTTTTTTATCAGTGGAGAACGACAGTTTTAGTCAGACAAAAATTCGTAAAATTACTATATACCTTAGAATCAGTAGTAAAAGATCGCTTTAGTCAGACGAAATAGTTCAAATTCTTAGAATTCTTGTATAAGTAGTAAAAACAGTTTTGGTCAGACAGGATTTTTTTTGTAAATTCTACATTATTTATTAATTTATTAATATTTAATAATTAATATTAATATTTATTAAAATTATTTATTTTCTTTATTTATTATAACAAATAAATAAATTTTTATTATCTAAATTCTTTTACAAAGAAAGAAAGAAAAAAAAATATAAAACAATAATTAACGACAAAATTCCTTCGAAGCTTAATTAAAAAAAAAAATGTATTTCACATTGCTGTTGATAAACTTGAGAGAAACTATAAATAAGTTCAAGTACTAAGGTAAACACAAATTATAGAAGATTTTTCACTTATCTCTTCAAGATTGTTTCGAAAAGTTAGAAAAGATATCGTGATCGATAGTTTGCTATTTAGAGTCATACATACAGAATGCTATTCATTTATAATATATATATATACACATGTTATCCAGAAATACACATCAGGTGGATGTAAAAGCAAATTAAGGTCATTTAACAAATGACGTCATCGATCCTGACAATAAAAATTCTCAACTAATTTCTCATTGACAAAAATTTATTAATTATAGAATCAAATTAAATTATTTACAATCATTATATTGAAACAACTTTTTTTCCATTGTAAATAATAATTAAATTAAATATTATTTTAATTAAAAAAGAAATAATTTTAGACCGATGACAACATGTACAAAATGTCCTCAAAAATTATTAATAAAAATTATCCTAAAAAAAAAAAAGAAAAATTACAAAAAAACATTGAATATTTTATTCGTCCCTTTTTATGAATTTTTTTCTTTAATTACATATATTTAAAGAAAATTATTGTTCGACATTTTTATATTCTAAAAAAATTAAGTAAATTATTAAAAAGAAAAAAAAATAATTCTTTCCAAGGACTCATTTAATTTAATTTTAATATACAGGACGAATTTTTATGTAATAGAATAATGAAAAACTATACTTTAATTAATGATTTGACAATTATATAATTGCGAAGTAATTTAAACTAATTAAATTTTACTATCCACCCGTTATATAACTATACAGTAGCTTTTGTGAGAGCGAGCGCGTGCAGGTTTAGTTATGCTATAAAGAGACAGAGAGAGTGAGAGAGAGAAAGAGATAGAGAGATAGAGAGAGAGAGCGATGCAGTGAATTTTGCGGTGCTCTGATGTGCGCAGGATTTCTCTATTCACGTTGAATCATTAAGATCGAGATTGAAGCTCTAAGGAATACGAAATTCAATTTCCGATGCCGACATCAAGAAAATAAGGGCAGATCTGCCGAGGCGTTGAGAAACCTTCCTATATACTCTCCTTATATCAAAGGAAGTTGTGCCTCTTTTGCAGCATACTGATCAATTATTTGCAGATTCACTAATATATATATATATATATATATATATATAAAGTTGATACATTAACTCGCGATTAAACTGACAGGAATTTTACGAAGCGGAAAATCTCATTAGCAAAATTTTCATTTTCTTCATTATAACAATTAAAAATACCATCTATAAAAATCGATTCAATTCTCAAAAAAAAACAAAAAAAAGATATTTTTTTTTTCAATTAAAATGTTGATTTACAACATTTTGATTAAAAATGCAAATAATATTCAAAAACAAAAACTTAAATAATTCATGTTTGGGGCGTATGATTATCCCATAAAAATAATTAGTTACAATTTTCATTTTTCATTTTCAATATAATTAATTTTTAGACAAATTTTCATTTTTCGAATTAACATTTTAGAAAATTTATTTAAAAACAAATTTTTACTTTAGAAAATTTTTTTAAATTTTTATTTGGTAGAATTTCTCTACAAATCTTTTTATTAAAAATTCGATTTAATTAGCCCACTTGGAAAGATTCCCCGGAAAGTGCTACCTGGAGGTTCTATCAGAATTCCGCCGGAACTTCCTACGTAATTCCCTCGGAATTCCATCGGAGTTCCAAAGAATTTCCAATGGGATTCCGACGGAATTCCGACGGAATTAGGACTCTAAAATTTTTGAAAAAATTAATCGGAATTCCGGCGGAATTCTGATAGAACCTCCAGGGAGCACTTTCCGGGGAATCATTCCAAGTGGGAGAATTCTTTAAAAAAAAAAAATTTTTTTGAAAAGAAATTCTGTAAAATAAAAATTCCATGAAATAAAAATTATCTTAAAAATTTGTTAAGTAAAAATTCGTTTAAAAAATCAAATTATCTGAAAGGCTATTTTGAAAAATGAAAATACGTCTAAAAAATAAACATAACTAACAAAATATTTATAGGAAATTAATATTCTTACTTATTTCCCATAAAAATATAAATATTCGTTAGTCATGTTCTTTATTTTTTTTTAATAATATTTTCCAACAAAATTTTTTGTTACTGAATTACTTATTTTTTTTAATTAGGTTAGTCAAGTAAACATTTTTGTTTTTGAATTATTTAAATTTCATTATCCGATATATCAAACTGAAAAATAGAGATTGGATACATTTCATCAATTTTTGATGGATGCAAATTTACTTTTGCATATGGATATGCGGTTTTTTTTTTGACGCTGGAATTATATATTTAGAAAGTTGGGACAATTGTAAATGCGTGGCTTACAAATATTATATATACGAATTCTTTGACAGGTATGTATATATATATATATATATGTATAGAAACTAAATTATTATTCCACGAATATAAACTTGTTGAGGGATTGGTATGCATGACGTATTTTACATACACAGGTTGTACTGTACTTAATGCTACTGGACGAATAGAATTATTACTAAATATGTAAATATGTAAATTTTGTCGACCGAAAGATGATTTGCCTTAACTTTAGATTGAAAGCTTCGTTGCTTTCATCATCAACATCTCGTAGAGAAACTTTTCCCTCTTGTTTATATATATATATATTATTAAATATATATATATATGTGTGTGTATTTTTTAAATATTCGTTACCATTATTTGCAAATTATGAATAAAAAATATTTTTTACTAAAAAAATACCATTATTTTTATATGTCAAACTTTAGGTATTAAAAAAAATAATAATTAAAAATTATTTATCATTCTGTCTCGAAAAATTTTTCAAGGGGGCAAAAAAAAAAAATGTAAAAATTAACCTCCCTATTATTTAAAAATTAATGTGGTTTGAAAGTTAATGAAACAATGACCCGATATTGTTTTCACATGAAAAATGATTGGAAATGTTTTTTTTTGAAAAAAAACAAATCTATTGAATAATTTAGAAAATTAATTTAAAAAAATTTTATAGAAAAAAATCACTTACCCAAAACTCGAACTTCGACTGACCGATAAGCAGTAAAATTGTGTTTATTTCTCGCAGTACACGTGTATGTTCCAAGATCTGCATTTTGTTGAACGGTTTCGATAGTTAATGTACCGTTTAAAACCCTCTGCCTCATATTTGTTGGTAGTCTCGATCCATCTTTTAATAATGAATTAAATATTTTACTAGCAATATTAAACGCGCGCAAGCGCGCCAAATTGAATATTTCCTTATTTGTTATAGAGAAATTAAAAATTAATATTATCAATAATTATTTAAATTTATTAGAATATTATTCCATATTAAATGATAAAAATAAAAATTATATGTTTATAGGCCTCAGATTATTAATTATCAAATTATTAAATTTTAAATTCAAAGTCTTTTAAAATTCAATTATTTTCCAAATTTTCAATTTAAAATCAAATGAAATTCAATTATTACCCAAAATTTCCATTCAAAATCAACTAAAATTCACTTATTATCCAAATTTTCAATTTAAATTCAAATAAAATAAAATTATTTTCTAAAATTTCATTTCAAAATTAATTATCAAAAATCAACTAAAATTGAATTGTTATTTAAAATTATAATTGAAATTTAATTATTTTCCAAAATTTCAATTCAAAATCCAAGACAATTCAATTATTTTCCAAATTTTTAATTCAAAATCCAAGACAAGTCAATTATTTTCCAAATTTTTAATTCAAAATCTTTTAAAATCCAATTATTTTCCAAATTTTCAATTTAAAATCACATAAAATTCAATTATTATCCGAAATTTTAATTTAAAATCAACTAAAATTCAAATATTTTCCATATTTATCTATTGAAAATTAACAAAAATTCAATTATATTCCAAAATTTCAATTCCAAAATCAACTAAAATTCAATTATTTCCCAAAATTTTAATTCAAAATCAAAGAAAATTCAATTACTTTCCAAATTTTTAATTCAAAATCTTTTAAAATTCAATTATTTTCGTAGTTTTCAATTTAAAATAAAATAAAATTCTTCAATTATTTTCTAAAATTTCTATTCAAAATTAATTATCCAAATTTTCAATAAAAAATGAACTTAAATTAAATTATTATTCAAAATTTCAATTAAAATTCAATTATTTCCCAAAATTTCAATTCAAAATCAAAGAAAATTCAATTATTTTCAAAATTTTCAATTCAAAATCAACTAAAATTCAATTATTTTCTAAATTTAAAATCAAATAAAATTTAATTATTTTCTAAATTTTCAATTCAAAATTAATTATTAAAATTTTCAATAAAAAATCAACTAAAAATGAATTATTATCCAAAATTTTAATTGAAATATAATTATTTTCCAAAATTTCAAATCAAAATTAAAGAAAATTTAATTATTCTAAAAAATTTGAATTCAAAATTAATTGAATTTTCAATAATTTGAATTTAAAAGCATTTAAAATTTAATTATTTCTAAAATTTTCCATCGAAAATTTTTTGAAATTTAATAATTTCAATTATAACTCTAAGGGAATTCAATTATTTTTAAATATTTTCATAATATTCTTTGAAAATTCAACTATCTGAAACCATTTTTCAATTAAAAATGATTATCAAATTATTGTATTTTGTCTGTAATTTCTAATAAATTTTTTAGTGAAATCATATAAAATTTTAATTAAAATCACTTGAAGTTCAATTAATTTCTAAAATCTCAATTTTAAATCTTTTGAAAATTCAATTAAATTTAAAAAATGTTTTCCAAAAAATTTTTTGATAAATTATTTTTAGTTCTGTAAAATTTTATTATTGTTTGAAAATTAACAATATCTTTTGAAATTTAATTATTTCTAAAATTTTCAAGTTTAATTTGACACAAATTTGACATGTCATAAGATTACTATTCAAAAAACACGTGAAATCATAAAAGACCAACTTCAAGTTAGGACAGAAGGACAGACCAAGCATTTTATTATTATATAATTTTTAAATTTTGTGTTACAAAAATTTGGATGAGGGAGGATTAAAATTGCTATCAAAATTATGAAAATAATAAAAAATGTTTAAATTAATTTAAATAATCATTTATAAATAATTCAGTAGTAAAAGTAAATGTTTAGTCAAACTCGTTGAATTTTTTTTTGTAATTTTATAAGTAGAACAAATTATAGTATGCCTATTACTATTTTTTTAAAATTTTATCAAATATTTAGTCGGACATTCTAATTTTGTCAGTAGTACATGTCAATATTTAGTCAGACTTTTTGCATATTTTTTTTGGTAATATTATCACTAGTACAAGTTGGTTTTAGTCAGACATAATAAAAAGCAGAAAAAACAATGAAACAATTAAGTCTATTGAATTGGTCAGATTTTTAAATTAATTAAAATTCCTTTAGAAATAAAAAGTGTTTTATTTTCAAATTGGACTTAACTTTTAATTCCTTTATTATTAAATAAATAAATTCAATTAAAGTCAATCAAGATAAAAATTATATCAATTATTGTTTCGAACAGTAAAGCGCTGCCAATTTATTTATTTTTAAACCTAATAATAATTTAATTTAATTTTAATAGGATAATTTTTGTATTTAATTTAATTTTAAATTTATTTTATTCTCGAGTGAGAGGAGATTTCACAATAGAGCATTATAATTCGATGCCAATAACAAAAATGGGAGGTAAAAAGTTAGGAGTAGAGAGAGCAAGAGAGAGAAAGAGAGAGAGAGAGAGACTTTCAAGATTTATCTTGGACATCTCCAATTTCTCCTTTTCAAACGATAAAGTACGGTCTACAGGAAGGATACGTTTAAAGCAGAACTCGGTAAATTTAAAACGAAACGATCGAATAGGTTTTCTTACCTTTTTCCCATATTATAGCTTCAATTGGATACCCGGCGACAGGGCATTTGATGTATAGTTGCTTTCCAGCCACCGCTGAAATAGTTGGCATTTCTCTCACGTACAGTAATCCTGCAATCAGAAAATTGCGTGATTGCTTCGAACATTATCAATGCTCAGGGAAAAGAAGAAAACGAGGTCGGGGAATGTCGTCGAGCGACTACGACGACGACGACTTTGTGTAAAACCCAAGATACTTGAGCTATTTTATACCACGACTTCCGTTCAAGGCAATCATAAAAATTCGATTTATATACTCATTTCAATAAGAGCTTTAGCTAAATTATGTTTCTGACACCATTCCTATATACAATAATTTTAATTTTTTTTCTTTTTCTTTTTTTAATCAGATTTCTTGTCTTTTGATGTTTTAAAAAAAAAAAACATAATTTCATTTTTTTATTTTTCCTATATCCGACAAGTAAAGTATTTGCTCTACTTGGAAAATGAAAATAAAATGTCTGATCATAATGGAACTTTTCTACTTAAAATTAAATTTACAACGTGTAATAAAACAGTGATTAAGTGAAATAAATTTTTGATTGGCAGTCAATTTAGTATCATTTAACATCAAGTTCAATTTTTTTCTTTTTTAATTTTCAACTTGTAAGTCTGATCATAAATCGTCTCTTCTACTTATTGGTGGAAAATACAAAAATATCTAGTGGAAAATTTTTTTTATGTAAAACAAATAGTAAATTTCTAAAATTTATTTTTTTAGGAAATTTTATTTTCTTGAATTTAATTAGATGAAATTTACATTTAGCCAAATTTATAATTTTTCGAAAAGTTTTTGACAGAATTAATATTAATAATAATAATAATAATAATAATAATAAAACATCCGTCAAAAAATTTTTCTGCTTCAAAGGAATTTTAAAAAGAATTTCGATAATATTCAAAAAAAAAATTGGTAAAATAAAAAGAGGGTATGGAGAGATATTTTCTATTTCCAGAAACAGTTTCGACATACACTTTCGTTAAATATGGTTGCATGTCCAAATAAAAGTTATTCTTTTCTAAAAACCTCTTTGTATAATAGTTCGATTTACGTGATAATATTTTTCTTCTCTATATAGTTATACATACACGCATTAGGTTTATATATAGGTATAATATACAAGCCAGTATTTTTCTATATATTTACATAAGATTTTCCTAAAAATTCGCAAAAGAAAGTTACTTTTTTTATCTGTACTCATCTCCACACCCTTTCCGTTTTTATGAGGAAAAAATTTCTAGTCATCCAATTAAAAAAAAAATGTTTCTCAAATTGATTTGAAATTTACATAAAAGTTAGTACTATCAATAAGTATTTCACCTGCATAAATTATTATTTTATCAAAAACTGTAGAAAGCGATTAAAATTTTCCTCAAATATGAACAGTGAATTTTTTTTTTTTTGAAAAATCACTTTTGCATAAAGGGATGAAAAAAAAATTCAATCTATTTTCGAAAGAATTTCTCCTGCATTTATTACAGGGTGTCTACTAAAAATCTGAATTAAAATTCCAGGACTTTTCAGGACAAATTTCTTATTTTTCCAGGACATTAAATTGGATGACTTTAAGGAATAAAAAAAATTTTTAGTTTAACTATTGTTTTCAGAAATTATTAAAAAATTAATTAATTACTTAAGTAAATTTTCATTTTACTTATTTAATGAATTTTTTTTTTAACTTGATTGACAAAATTAGAGATTTTTTTTGAAAATTTAAAAGCAAAATATAAAAAATTCCAGGACAAAAATTAAAATTCCAAGACTTTCAAGGACATTTTTTCAAATTCCAGGACATTTCCAGGACTTCCAGGACTAGTAGACACCCTGAATTTTTTAAATTATGCAATGTTTTTCAAATTCAAAATAATTTACCTCATTTTTTAAAAAAAAATCAAAAATAAATTTCTTAATGATCACATTTTTTTTTTTTTTTTTTGCTATTGGATCACTTGAGAAAATTTGCCCCACATATACATAGTATGTGATTTTATACGTTTATTGAAAAACGATTCTCACCGTAAATATTCAGCCGGGCAGAATGTTTTGCCTCTCCAGCTTTACTGCTCGCCGTGCATTCGTATTCGCCACCATCTTCCGGCTTCACTGACGAAATGTTGACATGGGAGATTACATCTCCGTACACAGTAACGTATTGGCCAATGAGAAGTCTGTCGTTTTGCGGCAGCGGAAATCCATCCACGAGCCAGGAAATTTGCGGCGTAGGATTACCCGCTGCGCTACATTTCAGAGAAACCGATGGACCTGGTTGCATTGTCTGTTCAATGAATCTATAGACCAACTGTGGCGCGATCTCTGTTAAACAGAAAATCAAAATTCCATTATTTAATCATAAAATCATTCATCCATTATTACATTCTCCATTCTCTAAATATACAACACTGAGAAAAATGTTTAGTCAGAGCAATCAAAATTTGATTGGGCCAAAAAAAAATTTTGTATTTATATTTAAGCAACCAAACTATTTGAGTCAATCAAAAAATTTGGTTGAGTGTTTTTTGTTGGCATACCGAAAATGTTTGGTTAGCTCAACCAAATTTTTTTAGGTTAGATCAACAAAAATGTTTGGTTGATCAAACCAAGCGTTTTTTTTTGTAAAATTAAAAATTTTATTCTACCTTTTTTCTTTTCTTTTTATCTTTTTTATTTATTTTATTATTTATTTATTATCAATTTAACATTGAATTTATATTTACACTCAGAAAAAAATTCGTTTGAAGCAACCAAATTTTGGTTAAATGAACAAAATAAATGCATTGATATACAGTTAACCAAACATTTGGTTACATAAACCAAACGTTTATTTAGCTCAATCAAATTTTTTCTTTGTTCAAAAAATTTATTAAAATAAACCAAACAGTTATTTAGATCAAATAAATTATTTGGTTGTCGCAACCAAATTTTGGTTAGGACAAAAAACGATCATTTGGTTTTTTAGACCAAACTATTTTGTTGTGTTAACCAAATTATTTTGTTGCCGTAACCAAATTTTTTGTTGGAATTTAAAAATATTCAACCAAATAATTTTGTTGCCGTAACCAAATTTTGGTTGGAATTTAAAAATATTCAACCAAATAATTTTGTTGGCCTAACCAAATATTTGGTTGAGATAATTCTACGACTTTGTTTCAGACAACCAAAATTTGGTTACAAGAACCAAAATTGCCTCTATAAAATTGCTTCCATAATGAAAAAAATTCATAATTTCTTTGTTCTATTCTTTTAATATTTATATAACTAAAAAGTTAAACATTTTTTTCCAATGTAAAATTTTCCAAAAAAAAAGAAATAAAATTATTTTTAAAATATTTAAAAAAATTTTATTTTAAAATTTGAGAAAAAAAATTTTTATTTATGATATAATAAAATTTTTTATTTACGTCAAATAAATGGACTAATAGTTGCCTCTGATTGTGAGACAAATATACGTTCATTTAATTCATATATATATATTATATATTTGGTTAATAATATTTAAAAAAAAAATTTAATTTGTTATAAATTTTAAAATGTTTATTTTAAAATTTGTTATATTTTATATTTATTAATTAATTTGTAAAAGAATGTATAGATATAGGTAATTCCATACGTTGACCTATACTACTGAAAAAGAATTGTGATGAAAATTTAATATTAAATAGTTGTATAAAATGTGTGTTATACTTTGCAATATTTTTTTTTGCATATTTTTCAGATGTAGGTTATTACGTACGTTCACCTATACTACTGAAAAATACAAAACCATTGTAATAAATAGAAAATATAAAAATATAGAAAATGTATTTTAAAACTCGTTATATTTTGTGTTTGATAATTTTATTAGTGTAATTCTATACGTTTATCTATACTACTGAAAAGTATTATCATAAAAATCTAACATTAAATACCCTTGTTAATATGTATTTAAAATATATAAAATAAATAATAAAATACTTTATTTTTATCTTTCAAATATAGGTCACTCTAAACGTTGACTTTTACTACTGAAAAGTACTGCAAAAAAAAATTTAAGATTTAATAGTCTAGAAAATATGCTTTAAAATTTGTTACAATTTATTTTTTTTAAACATTTTTCAGGAATGTCATTGTCATACGTTGACCTGTACTACTGAAATTTTTTTTCAAAATTAAATAGCCTAGAAAATAAGTTTTTAAAGTTATACTTTATTTTTCCCCATTCTCTCAAATGTATGTCACATACATTGACCAACACTACTGAAAAGTACTATCAACAAATATTAAAAGAAATATTTTTCAAAATTCGTTATATAAGATTTCAAATATATTTTTTCATAAATATTTGCTTATTCTTTCAAATATGACAATTTACACGTTGACCTCTACTACTGAAAAGTACTACAAAAAATGAAAATTAAATATAGTCTAGAAACTATGTTCTAAAATTCGTTATACTTAATTTTTTCATTCTTTTATGTAAAAAAATTTCGTCCGTTGACTTATACTACTGAAAAATTAACAGATTATTTTAACTTAAAAAAGCAATATTTGTTTTTAAAAAAAAATAAAAAATTTGGGAGAAAATTATATAAATTTTCATAAAACATTAATAAATATATAATTATTGTTTAATTCTTAATTGAAAATGAGCTTGTTTTTAAAATAATAAAATCCCGTTAATTTTATATTTAAAAAATAATAAAAAAATTTTAATTATAATTTAACCTGGAGAATTATCGGCTCTAAAATAAGCTTTCTCCACAAAATGATTAACATCCAACGCAATCAGTCCGGAAATTGATTTTGTCGTTTACTAGACATATATATATATACATATATATATATATATATATATATATATTTAAATATTAATAAACAGAATTATATAAGCATAACTTCGATAAAATATCTTGATAATTCATAACGTATTGATATTTTATAAAATATTATCTATTTTTTCTTTTTTTTTTAGTGAAATTTTCTATCACAATTTTTATATTCCTCGCGCTCTGATTGACACATTAATTACTCCAACATCATAAAGCTTAAATCATAAAATAAGGTCACTTTAGAAAGTTTCTATAATGATAAACGGAAAATTTTAAATATTATTTTACCCAAACGATTAAAAAAAAAGAATAAAAATTTTGCAAAATTTTTTCCTCAATATTTTTATTTCCAATTTTTAATGGTCATTTTAAGGTTTCACACACGGGGTGAATTTTTATTTATATTTGTTTGTAAACTTGAAAAAGGAAAAACGAAAAAAAACAACAAATCCAAGTTTTATTGAGGATATTCTACACGTGATTGAATTTCTCGTGTATATATATATATATAGAAGAGAAGTCAACTATATATTTTTGGGATTCATTCAGTAACAGAAAACAAGTATCGGGCATGCGCCACACTAAATGAACGCGAATGAAACGTAAAGTGTAACGGCGGTAAGCCGATAATGAACGAAAAAAAAAATTGACTTAAGCGAATAAAAAAAAAAAAAAGGAAATAAAAAAAAACGGAAATAAAAAAAATTCCTACTTAGAGGAAGTTTCATCATATCGAAAGAAATCAATACACACTGGCAATGCCCATCCGTTAGTTACCATATACCTAGGAGCAATTTCCAATTAACTTTCTTTTACCCCTGCTTTTATAGCCCGAGTCGTTTTCCATTCTCAAGTGCATCAATTGCAGGAATTTTTTCTCTCTACAAGAAACCTCTATTTTTATTCTAGAGATATTGCATTGTTTTGCACTGATAATTTCCTCTCTCTCTCTCTCTTTCTCTCTCTTATCGATTTGAAGTGAAAAAAAAAATTGATGCACAGCTTTGACGTTACCGCGTTTTCAATTTGTATGCGCTCGTGTTCTTCTAGAAAATTGATTTGCTAACTTTTTTTTTTCCTTCTTTTCTATAACGATTTTTCTTCAAGAATATATATATATATATATATATATATATTCAAATATTGCGGAAATAATATATACACAGAAAAAATATTCAATTCAATCACAAAATTAGAAATTCATTATAAGAAAAAAAAATTAATTAACGGATTTAATTATAGGGATTTTAATGAAATCATTAATAATAGATAAACATCGATTATTGCTTGTCTGTCGCAAAATTGAACATAATCCTTGTATAAATTATTACAGCTATATAATCCTATTCGTACAATATGGCTAAAAAGTAATTTCTGTCAAATATAATAATTCAAAAGCAGTCTCCTTAACTAATTTTTACGTATAAAATTAGTTTTTTTAAAAAAATACGATCCTCAACTAATTTTTGTCTAAATATTTATATTTTTTTCAAAAAAAAAATCTTAATTATAAAATCTTTAATTAATTTTTATGTTAAAAAAAATTTAATTTTCTTTTTAATTTTATTCAAAAAAAAGTATATATAAAGTATAAGATTCTTATCACTAATTATTGTTATCTGAAAATTAATTTTATTTAATTTCTAAAAATTAATTTTTTGCGAATAATTCTAAACTATAAGATTTTTTATAATCAATCAAAGTTGCGGAAGAAATCTAACTTAAACACACTTTTACTATCTGATAATAAAATTACAAGAACTTAAACTGTTTTGTCTGAATTAAAAAATTTCAATTTACTCACTGTACAATAATTAAAAGTATAGTTTTAATTTAAAAAGTTTTGTTCTCAATTGTCTTTTACCTACTTATATAAAAGAAAATTCAAAACCCTTTTGTCTCACTGAAATTGACTTTTCTCATTCTTATACAAAAAGACACTAATCATGAAAATTATATCTGTCTGACGGAAATTGACTTTTACTACTTTTTAAAAATAACAAAAATTAACTTTTCCCACTGTATAAAATTATCTCCAAATAGCAAATCGAGGTAAAAAATGTTGTAAATAATTTATTTGAAAAAAAAAATTTTGTACCTGAAACTTGTAAAATTCTACTTATTTGAATTTGTTTAAATATATATATTTAAATATACTTGTTAGTATGTAATAAAAAATGAAATTTTCATACACTCTACACACGATCAAAAGACGATATTAATATTCTGAAAAGGGCCGTGTAAAATCTCTTAAAATTAATTAAAGCAACTTTAAGAGCTCGTTAATTTTCCAGAGCGAGTTAGTTTAAAAGGCAGTGTACGGCTTTCTTCTCAGCTAAACTGGAAAGCTGGAAAATTTACAAAGTCAAAAGTAAGTATATTTCTCGCAAAGGCCATAAGGAAATTGGTATATAATACTGCGGGGGGTATGGAATTTTAAAATGATTAAATTCTATCTTTACAACTGTGACAAGAAAACGAGTGCATTAAAATTAAAAAAAAAAAATT